GTGGTGCTGACAACACCAACTCAAGGGTTAAGATCCCCTTACCGGTCATCTTTAAAAAAAATAAATAAAAGAAGATAAATAAATAAATAAAAATTTCCATGGATATCATTCTATAGACAATCTATCCTGTTTTTCTTAATGACTACATGGTGTGGTTATACCATAATTTATTTTACCAGTCCCTTAAACTGCACCATTTAGGATGTTTCTGACCTTTTGCCAGTACAAACAATGACCACATCACTGAATCTATATAAATATAGTTTATGTGTAGTCCATTTAAAAATTTTTATGAAGTACTGCCAAATTGTCTTTCAAAATGGTTGTGACAATTGTACCCCTACCAACAATGAATCTGCTTATTTCCCAGAATGGATAGTTTTCATTAAACAGTCAAACACATATTGAAAGCCTAATATGCGCCAAGTATTATGCTAACTTCTGGAGGATACAGAGATAAAAGACACAAACCTTGTCAAAAAGGAACTCAATCCTGTTGGAGAAGACGGATAAACAATTATAATACAGTACGTTTAGTACATTACGGAGGTACTCATGAAGTGGTACAGGAGCACACAGCAGAAGCATTTAACTCAGACCTAGCAATACATAAATTCATACTTTCACAAATATTGAGTGCCTGCTATGTGTAAGGCACTGTGTTAGGTCTTGAGGATACAATGGTGAGCCCGAACTGACCTAATCCTGGGCCTTGTGGAGCTTATAGTTCTATGAAAAAGAATAGACATTAGCTGAAGATCCATACGATAGATCAGTAAAAGATAGAGAACCACAATGGGTGAATAAAGTTGTCAAGGAAGGCTTCCTGGAAAAAGACACGTGTGGGCCGGCCCGTTGGCACACTGGAGAGTGCGCCGCTTGGGAGCACGGCGGCGCTCCCGCTGAGGGTTCGGATCCCATGTGGAGACCGGTTCCCGCTCACTGGCTGAGCGCGGTGCGGGCGCAACACTGAGGGTTGCGATCCCGTTGCCGGTCCCCGGTATGGGTGTGACACTGAGGGTTGCGATCCCGTTACTGGTCGGTAAAAAAGACAAAAAGGGAAAAAAAGAAAAAGACACGTTGGGCCGGCCTGTGGCTCACTCGGTAGAGTGCGGTGCTGATAGCACCAAGGCTGCGGGTTCGGATCCCATATAGGGATGGCCGGTTTGCTCACTGGCTGAGCGTGGTGCTGACAGCACCAAGCCAAGGGTTGAGATCCCCTTACCGGTCATCTTTCAAAAAAAAAAAAAAAGAAAAGAAAAAGACACGTGTATTGCATTTTGAAGGATAAAGAGATATCTGACAGATGTTGGGAGGGAAAGATTCAGGAGTTGGAGGAGACCAGGGAAAGAATACTAAGGAGGCTTTCTAGGCACAGAAAGCATGTACGAAAGCATGCTTTCCCCAAACTTTCTGGCTCCCATTTATACCAGGGACCAAGGAATCAGATAATGCTACAGCATAGGATGCCAGAGGCAATGGCTGATAGGCAAGGGACTAGGTCGCAATATACCATGCTGAGATATCTGGGACTTATTCTAGGGCAATAACACACAAAGCTTGAAGAGAATTAAAACAATCAGTTCTTTATTTTGCAAACATGTTTCTAAAACAGTATGGAAGATGAATCAGAAGGGATTACAAATTTAAAGGCAGAAAGTCCAATTAGGAGGCCATACCCAGTTGGTCATTTAAAAGACACACCTAGTTCAGTAAGGGTTAAGTGAGGGCTTGCCCATTCTAAACAGAATCTCAGAACCTGAACTCTGTAGCACTGTTTCCACGCAAAAGATGTCCTGAGTTTCAACAGCTGATCCCAAAAATACATCCCACACAGTACAAGTAATGAAAATCCCCTTTCCCCCAAACTTTTCAACTCCAATTCAAGGACTCCCTTGAGTGAACCAGTTAGATTCTTACTGAGACTTCTGGGGTATGAGTGGGGGAAAGGCAGGAGAAGGAGAACTTTTAGAAGAGGCACACGATCTGTTGGGAAATTGTAGAGGGGAGAGGGCTTTCTAAGAGACTGCTCCATAGGATCCAGGGTGGCCAACAAGACTGAAGACTTTGCAAAAGGAACAGGAGCTCCAGTAGATGGCAGCAGCAGCTCCACCTGCTCTAGCAGCAACAAAAGAAGTCAAGTCAGAGGGGAGGCAGGTCCCCTCCAACTCTCTACACAACTTATTTGTATATCCAGATGAAGACATTTTTAAAGTGGGTATCCATAGGAGTATAAAACCTATAAATTTCTTTTCTGCTTATCTTCAAGAAGTACAAATAACAGGAGTTCAGAACACCATTTATAAGTCTCCTGAGAACAGAATAACTTGGACCAAAAAGTTCATTTAATTATTTTTCATGTAATGTGGCAGCACATAATTAAACATTCATCACTTATCTGTCCTGAGGATTTAAAATTCATTACTGGTATCAGAGGAGGCTGGAGTATAGTTGGAATAGTGGTAGGCTGCCTCCACAAACTCTAGAAGGATGGGCGGGGAACTCACATGTAAAAGGTAAAGAAAAGCAGCCAGGACAGAGATCTGGCAAACTGTAAGAGGAAAGATAGTAGAAAAGCAGGCAGCTACAGAACAAAATATTTCAGAGAGCTGTCTGATTTTAACTCATCTCTTTATGTTGTTGCTGTTTTAATCTTTAAAGAAGACAAGGCCTAGGTGAATTGAGTTGTCTAGAAAAATTATGCTTCAAGTTTTCAAACCCCCTAAAATGCTGTTGCTCCTGCTTTTTAACCTAACTTCTTGCTAGAGTTAACAGTTTATCTTCTGATCTTATAATAAAGACCAGTTTCATCCCTGAACATGAAGGAAAGGATTTGTATAAGTTGTGCTTGGGTAACAGAAGAAACCAACAGTGTCCACAAAAGAAGAGAAGGGCTGCAACAGGTAGGCTAGAGGAGGTTCAGAGTCTGGGCTGGCTGGCACCAAAGAAGAACTCTGGAAGAAGCTTGGCTGACCATCTACTGCTATCATTTCTGTACTGCAGTATTAATTTGTTTTTGTTTTTTGGCAGCTGGCCGGCACCAGGATCCGAACCCTTGACCATGGTGTTATAACACCACACTCTACTGAACTGAGCTTATTGGCCGGCCCCTTGACATATGAATTTGGATGGAAAACAGGATGGCAACCAAAAAGTAAAATTCTTCTACCTCACATTTACCAAGTGGCAAGTCAGAGGACTATTTCTGACCCAGAAAGTGCTGACTGCTTTAACACAATCAGGATATGAATTTAACACTATGTGTAAAGCCGGGTAGATCTAATTTTAAGAATTTATTGCATGAGCCATTTTATAATTGTTAAATACGTGTTTGTATACAGCTTATTTTTTTTTATTTTTTATTTTCTCTATTCAGCTTATATTTTGATAGTTAAAAAATATCAAAATGCACCAAATGTAGTAAGAACCAGTGAACCAGGTCCAAATGGATTAGGGATTTCACTCTGTCCTCTTTAGACTTCACTGTAGATTCTATGACAAAAGGGGGAGATACTTCTTGAGAGCTAAAGTTGGGGTTTTTTAAGGAAAATCAAGCATTAATATAAATGACTGGGTTCTTACATATTCCCACTTCTACTCAGGTATAAAAGGTATGCATACGATGCACTTCTATCTTTACCTGTGTCTCTGGACGCAAAATGGTATCTTCACCCTCTTTCTCAATTTCTTCCTTACTTGGAGTCTTAGATATAAACTTGTTTTTGTTTACAGATTCTTCCACCAATTTTTTTTCTGATTCTTTCATTATTTCCAGAGTCTCTTGAGTAGTGTTACTGTTAGACATGTTCTTCAACAGAATTCAGTTGCCTCTATGGACTCCTAAAGAAATATCAAATACATTAAACAGGAGGTGTGTATCCATATGTAATACACATACAAGACTTACATTTCACGTATTTATATTTTTTTCCAGCAGCTTCCCTATAACCCAGAAAAGAGTCCCTGTGTTTTCTTTCTTTCTTTTTTTTTTCTTTCTTAAGCTTTATTGAGATAAAACTGACAATAAGCTACATATATTTAAAATATACAATTGGTTATGACACATACATACACTTTTAAAACCAGCACAATTGAGATAGTGATACATCCATCATCCCCAAAAGTTTCCTCATGCCCCTTTGTAATCTCTCCCTCACCTGTCCACCACCCCCAGCCAACCACTGATTTGCTTTTCATCACTACAGATTAGTCTGCATTTTCTAGAATTTTATATGACTGGAATCATACACTATCTGGATTCTTTTACTTGGCATACTTTTGAGATTCACCAGGATTCAGTTTTAAAACAATTTAGTGTGAGTCCTCTTGGCACTTTGCTGTCTCTTGTTCCCTATAGAAATTTGCTCACATTTTCAGCTCAATCACTTAACTCACTAGATTCTTTCCAGAATGAAGAAAAAAATATTATAAAGCTCTGTTCACCAGGAGTGGAACACTCTTCTTTCCTGAAAGAGAACCTCCACAGTTACCACAAACCACAACATTGTTACCAAATTCACGCTATTCCCCCATCAAAAAGCAGCAAAATCAGGGGCTGGCTGGTTAGCTCAGTTGGTTAGAGTACAGCCTTGTAAAACCATGGTCATGGGTTCAGACCCTCACACCCACCAGTACTGGCCAGCTGCCTAGGGGAAAAAAAAAAAAGGCAGCAAAACCAGACCATGGTTATAGAATCTTAAATTCTTTCCTTTATCTTAAGCAAACTAGAGAACTTTGGTGTCATCTGTCCTTTAGAAAGATTGGGTCTCTCCCCCAGAGGTGGAATCTTCAGAGGCGGAATCTTCGCTTTGCTATTCCTTATTTGGGTTCAATCAATCTACCACCTCCCAAATAATACAGAGTATCTATAGTGCAAGGGTGGCCAGGTCTGTATCACTTATACTATCACTACCAGGGATTTACTGAAGCCAACAAAGTTCTTCAGGTACTCACTGAGAAACAGAACTTGACGCTCTATATACAGATTCATGTCCTCAACTGCTGAAATCAAACATGCTTAGCTCCAACAACGGTTTGTAGAGGTGTCTCCTTACATGGGTTACTGACTGTACTTCAGTCCTAAATACTTCTTTCCCTTAAAAAAGGTAAGATGGGAAACCTTCCCAGATGTCACATCTATTCCCAGTAGCACTAGAAACTTAACTAAATAAACAAATAAGTGGGTAGCAATGCTTCAAGAAAATTGTCACACCAGACATTTTTCTCTCCTTCAAATCACTTTAAAGCTAAGTCCCAGAAGGCTCTCAAGAAGCACAGGTAACCTCCTCCTGACATTAAGTTAGGTAGCCTACAAGATTATTGCTTTGTTCACCTTGTGGCAGTTCCTGAGCAGTTGCCTGAAGACTTAAGTTTGCTTAGGTCTAGATAAACTCTTATTAAAGTGCCAGAGAGTCATTCATATAATCATGAAGTCATACAGCTGAATTTAAAGATGAGAAATACTGGAAGAAATTGACTACAAAAGAAAATGGTCAATATTCCATTTTTTAATTAATTGATTCAATAGCTACTGGTTTCTACAGAGTTATAACCTACAGAGCACTGTGTGGAATATACTATAAAGCATATACCTCACAGGGACTGGTTTTCCAAAGTCTTGCAGTTTCAAATATTGACCTTGCGGAGGACTGGAAATTTTCCTCAGGCTATAAGTCTCTGGTGTAAGTAAAGATTTGTAGCACAGCAAGGTTGCTGGCTCAAGGACAGACTAGTTACTGATTGTAATGTAAAGATACTGGAAAACTGCTAGAGGGAGAAGGAATGTTTGCTAAGATCAAGCTGTTGTTGATAGGACCACTTATTGCCTTACTGGAATGTCATCTGGCTTGTTTCACTGAAAGTTACCAGCCTATATTATTAAACTATAACCCCACCTATGTTCTCTTCCTGTAACTTCCTGGTCTGGAAAATAAATGCAGGAAGAGAACCCCAATTCGGGGTTAATTTCCCAAGGAAGTGATGCCTCTCACTTGAGGGTTCCAGCGGGAAATTAACCACTTCAGGGCCTCTCACTGCTCAGAAGAGATGGGCTTTGAGTAATCCTTTGCATCTCGGTCACCCAGGAGAAGATGAGTGACAAGTCCGTGGGAGGCAAAGCAACACAAAGCAACAGCACTGGTTGTACATGGGACTTTGTTTATGTACTCTTGTATGTATGTATACATGTATTTATTACCCACACCCCAACAAGTCCTCAACTTCTCTTCAGTTTGAAGTACTAGTAAAACTCATCGCATGCCTTCTCCATATCTCTTAGCTAGGAAACATTAAGAAAGATCAGAATTAGAAGAGTTCTTGGATGTAAGTTCATGCAATCACCTCAAGAAAAGCTCCTTTCTATAACTTCCTGAGAGGCCTGATAGCCTTCCCTGGAAAACTGGGACAGGATCATCAATTTCTGAAAGTCTTAACTGTTATATAGTTGCTTCCTATATTAAGCTACAAACTGCTTCAGTCTTGATCATAATCAGCCTTAGAGTCACACAAAATTAAGTTTTATTAATTTAACCACATGTTGGACCTTCAATATTTTTCTCTTTTCTGGGCTTTAATAGCCTCAAATAGATTTCTCCATCAGAAAGAGAAGGTAAATGAAAAAAACATAAAGCAGTTGGTTGTTTCTTTTTTCCAGAATGGTCCTTAATTACCAAATAGGTGTTTTTTTTCAAATCAGAATGACAATTTTGCTGTTCTCCTTCACATGTGGGTCAGGAAAGTATCAATCATCTGGACACCAGGAAAAATTTCAGTGTTCAAGCAACAATACTAGGAAAGCAAATAAACAAAAATGTCCATTCACAACAGCTGCATACAGAATATGTCACATAATCAAACTCAAATTTTGAGGACATGGTTTCCTTCATTCACTGGGGAAACAAGAAAACCTGACCTTTAGATTCTTTCAGACACTCATAAAACACACAGTGATTAATCCACTCACTTTCAAGAATTTAGTCAGTCATTTCAATTAGACCACTGGCCTCTTAAAGAGCTGTGTAAAACAAAGTAATTTTAACACTGAGACAAAAGGAAGCAGCAAAGGAAAAGGCAAGTTAGCACACTATATTGGCTGCCTACCCAGATCTCCCATTTCTTCCACACTCATTAATCTAACCCAGATTTCTTTTCGTGTTTGCCTTCCTCTGAGGACACATGATCAAGAAAAGTGACCTTACTCCCAAGACCTGGGAGATGGATCTTAATTAGCCTAACAGATAGACCAATTGTGGTAATTCTGTTTCCTTTTTGTGACTGGTTTTTGAAGGGACAAGTGACTCAATCATCACCAGTGAGACATGAGGGGATTTTGCTGGGTAGGTGGCTTCAAGAAAAGGCTTCCTCCTGTATTTAAATTTTTTAAAAAGCCACGAGAGAAAAAGGGTTGTTATCTTCTGCTGAAGGTAGTCTTGTGTACAGATGATGCCTGGACTTTAGCAGCATCCTGCCAACGAACAGAGGATGGGGGAGCAGAGAGAATAAGCCTGTATCTTTGATGCTGTGATGCAGACAATGAATTAGTCAACCTGGATCCTCCCTATCTCTGGACTTCTTGATATGTGAGGTTACAAATCTTCCTTATCATTTAAGCTATTTTGAGTTGAGTTTACTATCCCAGCATACTGACAGAAAGGGTATATTAAGAGAGGTACTATCTGAACCAGATAGAGCCCACTTCTTCTTTTTTTTTTTTTAAAGATGACCAGTAAGGGGATCTTAACCCTTGACTTGTGTTGTCAGCACCATGCAGAGCCCACTTCTTATAAGCAGAAATAACTGACAGAGAGAGGGATGATAATAACAGTAATCAGTTAAATTTTTTTGAGGCTTACATTGTGCCAGGTGCTATCCTAACATACTTTACTTATCTCATTTAATCTTACAACAATCTTATGACATACGTATTATTAACATCACCATTTTATAGATAAGTAAACTGACACACAGAGAAGTTAAATAATTTGATTAAGGTTATACAACTGGTACATGGCAGAACCAGGACTCAAAGCCAGGAAATTTTGCTCTGGTACTTACTTTTTTAACCCTTATGCAATACCACCTCTAACTAAGGGAACAGATGGCCAAAGACCAGAGAATAAAATGAAAAGTCTACCAAAGATAACAAAGGAATCATGGAATCTCATAATTGGAAGGGCGATTAGAAACTTTCTCATTCAGCTCCATCCTGCTACATCCATAGTTCTCATAATTAGGTTCTTGAATCATCAGTAACTCTGAAAAATGGTTCTTCTGTCCCTGCTTGTATACCTCTAGTGAAGGGGAAGTCCTCACCTCTGGATACAAACAATTTCTTTTGGGAATACATTCCTCATAAACAGACAAAATTCATTTCCTGTTATCTCCTCACATGGACCCCCATTTAGCTTTCTAAAAAATATGTTTAATCTTGCCTTCCATGTCAGCCTCTTACAAAAGACAACTTTATCTTATTTCCTTCACTAAACACTCCCAGTTCTTTAAGTCAGGTCTTTGAATCATGTGGTTTTAAGTCTCCCCACCATTTTGCTTCTAAGATAAAAGAAGCTGTCTTGAAGTAGACAGAGGCACTAGTAATAAGGAGTCAGAGTTTACTATTCCAGAGTCAAGATCCATTAGAAGGTACATGAAGCAGAAAACCATATTTCTTAGGCTAAGACTCTCTTTTGCTCTCCAAGAAAACCTTTAATTAAGGTTATTCCTAGTCCTGTAGCAATGTAGAAGGCTCTCCTTACTCTTGGGGCATAAGGATTCCTGGAAACAAAATTTTCTGAGCCAAAACAAAAGCAAAAGTTGTGGCTGAAGAACAAGACAATTTTATTAAC